AACTCGTAAACTTAATTTATAACGTTTTATTTCGCTTTTTTAAAATTAATTTCACTGGAATATATACCTCTCGAACCAAATCTTCTATCTTGAATCCATTTCATTGCCACTAATACTTCTACTACCTCTATTGCTATGGAATCTGAATTGAAAATTCGATTTGTGTTGCAGTTCGAACTGATATACGTATGTACGAAGTTCTACGTTATAGTTGACTGCCTGACTGGAACTTTAATCAACCTCCTAATTGTTGAATATATTTAAACATTTGTTTGTATGAATGTGTGTGTGTCATTCCATGTTAATAACAATCATAACATTGTGTCGTGTATTTCTCAAATTGTCAGTTCAAATATCTAGTGAAAATGTCATAATTAGTTAACATCAATTTCTTTTACTTCATAAATAGACATGAATGGTAATAGTTAATGAGTAATTTATTTTCAATTCTTTTGGTTGGTTAATATTACAGTCAACAACTAACCGATGATATCTGATATTACGAAACCTTTGTTTGTTTCTTGCTAATGGAGTCATTCATTCACTTATTGTCAGCGTATGACGTGAGATAAATTTGTAATTGGTTTTGTCAAGTTTCACATTTGAAATTAATATCAAGAAAAGCAAAGACAATGAGTTTATTGCAACTTTAATGAAAATCTCAATAGAAGAACTACAGTTAAAAATCGAGTAAAATAAGGGGAGAGAATAAAAAGGTTTGAAAAATTTTTAATAAGATAAAAAAAAATTAATAAATAATCCGACCTATTTTACACCATTTCAACCAATACACTCGAATCAATGATTGTTAGCATTTTTCACTAGGCTTGTCCAAGAAGTCTACCAACAAATGATTTAGAATAGCAATCAACAATTTTATTGGATTAATTTCATGTCTTTTACTTATTCATTTCATGCACATAAATGTCTAATATAATTGAATGCCAATAGTAGAACATATGACAAAAACAAGTAGAGGTAATATTACGAACACAAACAGAGGAGACAAGAGTATATTTGAAAAAAATACGCTAGGCCTTACTCTTATCAGTTGGTTGTAAATCCAATCTTTCATTGTTAGATTAACATCATAATGGCGTGAAACTATAAGTCAATCTGGCTCTCCTTATAGGTTAAATGATTTCATTAATTATACCATTATACAAGTGCACATACAACCACTTCAATGTAAAAACTTTTCAACTACTTTTTAACGGCTCATTAAACACGATGAATCAAAGCATAGGATTCTGTCATTCTTTCAGAAGTGTAAAACACACCACATACTTACAGATACTTATTATCTACTTATTAAGTATATATTGTGTAGCATGTGTTGTATCATACATTATGACAGTACAAATTGGAAAAGTCTTTCTTCAGACAACAAGTCTACATTAACATAATCATCATCACTATCCTCCTTATCATCTACTTCAGTCAGAACTGTTTTGAGAATGTCATCAATAACCAAAGTTGGTTAACGCGACTATTGTTCTCCCTACCTACACCTGGCTATTTCTTTACAAATACTCCACAGAAAAGGTCTTTTTTCTCACTATCCCTCTCTTTCTCTTCACTCATTATCATTTCTTCTTTTCCTCTTGTTTTTTTTTTCTGATTTGTAAAAGGAGAAAAATAAAACATTTTCTTCTTAGTTAATATGAATTTACTTTTCCAACCAATGTTCTTCTAATCTTATTGTCTCCGTCACATTACCATTATTATCATTGTTACCATTTCTTTCGTATCCATCTGTGATTAAAAAGAATACAATTTGACATTCACCTATTCCCTTTTATAATAATAATAATAATAATAGTATGAATAATATTTATATATCAATCCGTTAAATGATCAAATCTCTTACAATAGATTTTGAATGAAATAAAAAAAGAGAAAAAAATGAACAATATTGACAATGTGCGTGTGTTAATTTATTACAGTTTACCATTACCAGTTATTAGTAGCAGAAGTAGTAGTATGAGGATGATGGTGATGAATATGTTCTTATTAAATAAACTAACTATTGTAATTTTTTTTGAATAATAATAATAATAATAAATTAAAAGTGAAATGAGCTATGGAGATTTAAACGAGAAAGAAAGAAAGAAAGAGAAGAAACACACACACTATGCTAGATAACACTTGTTCAATAAAGTTTCAATAGGACAGATGTCTTCTGATCATCAGTGTTTTTGAATGCGTTTTTAATTTTTTTTTTAAAAGAAAAAAATTCAATAAAATGACACACACACACATACACACACCAAAACACATGTCACACTCAAGAGATTATTTATGATCAGTTCGTGTTGATTGTAGGCTTACAAACCAAAAAAAAGTTGTATATTGACAGTGAAAAAAACATGCAAATGATACAATTTACTTAAAACGATATGATTAGTTAACATGAGTTTCTTTTTTTTTTCAAAAAAAAACAAAATAAAACATGTCTAATTATCATTTAGCGTTTATTGAGTCAGATTATTTATTAGGATAGTCTGTCTAACTATCATAATCAGTTTTTGTGTATTCTGATTGACCAACAAACAATATGTTGATATTTCAATCATATTCACTCTGATAGACTTGATATCTTTTAGATGCAACAGAGAATACACATCATAATGATATTCGTCAGTTTTTTTTCAAGATTATTTTAAATTCATAATTTAAAGCTTTTATACTTTGAATCTTCCATGTCATTTCTAATGAAAGATTATGATTGTGTTGTATGATGTGAAGAGTCCTAAAATACCCTTTGATAAATAATCTGTCAAAATAGCTTGTTTAAATTTAATAATTCTTTAATTTATGTTGAAATATCATCTTTCGAAATAAATAATTTCCACGATAATTGTATTCAAGTAACATTTATGAACATTGACACTTCGATGTAGTTGAATATATAGGTGTTAAATTGCCAATTAAAAGTAGCATAGATTCTCTTATTACTTACAATTTTATATTTTTAAAAAAAAGAAAGTTTGTAATAGAATGGTTATATTGAAGTAATCTAAACAAACAAAAATGGATCGAAATTCAATCGTGAATATTAATAACAGGATAATTCCAACTTCTATTTAATAACTAGTATAAGTTTTAAATATTTTAATTCTTATCTAATCATGATTATTAATCAACTGGGTGAAAAATAATACGGCAACGACCTAAACGTTTTCCTGGATATATATATATATATATATATATATATATATATATATATATTAACTAGTGCAAGAAATATGAGATTTTCAGCTAAATATAACATACATTCACTTCTTTGACATAGCCATTTGAGTAATTGATCAACTGAGGATAAAAAATTATGAGATGGTTTGAATATATTCTATTGATGTGATAACTATGATCATATTTGACTGAGAATAGTCAATATAACTTGAAATTTAAACCATAAGAAGACTTATTGTTTTGCATTCAAAAGATGAACCAGTCAATGTTAGACTATCATTAAAAACTTGGAAGTATTAGACTGCCTATTCGTCTTAGTATGAGACATCTCAGCAGTGTACATTCATGATCACACAAGCGGAGATCAAACCCAGGACCTGCGGTCTTGCGAGTAAATCTTTTTAATCTCGCTTCATGCTTTTGATAAAAACTCAACAATCTCCACAACTCTGATACTAATAATTTTATATTTTAATCAACTATTCATGTTAAGTTTCTAATTTATCTATAAAAATTTGAAGATTGTTTGAATAAATTAAAAGAAAAAGTATTATGAATTGTAATGTATAAGAAAGCGATAATTTTTATAAAATCTTATTCATTCTTTATTTTTTTTTGTAAATTTTACAGCGTGTAAATTTTTTCCATAGGATGACAGTTATTACTGTGTACTTATAGTTTTTTCTACAAATAAATGAAACAGTGATCATGATGTCTTATGCTGTGTCGATTTTTCCTATTATATCAATTCATGTAGAATGATGATACTGTTTAATTTCCGTTCAACAGTTGACATATTTATCAAGTATATACTTGTCTGATTGTTTTTGAACAACCACACTGCAAGTTCGAAAGCCAGTAACACCATACGACTAATTAAATCGAAGTAGATAGAATGGTATTTGAACCTAAGATTTAGTGTGGCTGAAATTTTGATCATCTTTACTAAACTGACTGAGCCGATGATTGACTCTGTCTAAGAATGCTATGCATTACATTAGTTAATGTAGGTCTGATATACTAAGCGGTGTATAATGTTTATAGTGACTACGAGTCACAATCCAATTTTATCAAAAAACTTTTCACTAAATGGTATTATCAGAGTAATTACCCAGAGTAATGCACATATCCCAACCGCCTACCTCAATTTGAGAGAATAGACAGTGTAAGTGTACATTGGGGGGAAATCTAGGATCAGTAGAAGTCATTATTGATGGAACTAAGCCATATCTATAGGTAAGACAATGTGGTAACTCGAACTGATACACATTTATTTCATAGTCTTCATTACTTATGAATGGCCTACGCCAAACCTCTCTGTTGCATTTCTTTCCTGGTTCAATGTACAATTCACGCTTGTTTAATTTTTTTCCCTGATTATGCAAACATTTCAACATAATAATTGTAAAATAAAACTATTTACTCAATAATTATATTCAATTGTCTATTGATCAAACTAGAAAGAAAAAAATTTAATAGCCAATTATCAATAAATATAAATCATGCATAAATATATATATTTATTACTATCAATAGTCAATATTCATGTCATAATCAAATAGATTTAAATTATTGGTAATGTTTAAAAGTTGATTTATTAAATTCTTTTTTTTAGATATACAAATATATATATATATATATATATATATATAGTATTTGTATATGTATATTGATTATCGTTATTGAATTCTTTTTGTATTTATCTATTTATCTCTTCTTTTTTATTCTGTTGAATTAATCGCATTTCATTTCATTTAATACTTTCTTCATTTCTTCTCTTTTCTTTTCTGTTCTTTTGCCCACAGTCCAATGTAACACGTGAATTTTGGCCGGAGAAAGTAGACGAGCATCGATTGCGTATGCATGAAGAATTAAGTCAATTATTAGCACCATGTATACAACAAGTCGTGGAATTTGCCAAGCGTATCCCTGAATTCAGTGCACTTGGTCAACCAGATCAATTGGTGCTAATTAAAGCAGCATTTTTTGAAGTTTGGCTTGTTCAAGCTTCACGTCTCATATCCACACATGATCGTAAAATAACCTTGGCTGATGGTAAACAAATTACAAAACAAGAATTAGATTTTATTTATTCAGTAAGTTTATGTTGAATTTTTAGTTTTTATTTTTGGTTTTTACTTTTATTTGTGTGTTGACTTTTTCGTTTCACTTTCACAAAAACCTTCATGATGAATAGAATTGTTTGTTTAAATTCTCTCAATGTAACCTTCTCATATTGTGAATGTTATCATCGTATGCATGTGTATATAGAGAGATATGTATATGTTCTATTTCACATTACGTTGTATATGAACACATTTTTATAGTGTTGTATGTAAGAATATCAGTTGTTATGTTTATTAGCTGTTTGAATTAAAACTAACTGTTATTTTCAATTTCATTTTTTTTAAATAAATTAAAACAAACATTCTATTTGTGACATGTTAAACTTAATCAAATGAATTCATTTCTTATGACTTGACATGGGCAGAATAAATAATAGTGTCTATAATCTCTATAGCGTTAGACTGAAAATAGTTTTTAGAAACATTTACTGTTCTATAGTACCATCTAAAAAGAGGTTATTTAAACTGGTCGCTTGATACCATTTAATGCTATCAAACCAATAAATACAAGTAACTGATCATTGAATAGTGATCAGGGTTGGGATTTTCCAGCGATCTAAGTTAGAACAGCATTGAAAACCTAGGAATATTGAACGACCGTACAGGACTGTCCAACGACACACATCCACGACCCCGCACACGTACACTTGATTCCTAGATCACTGAGCCGGCGTTAACACCTACAGATTTCGGTCCACACTGATGTTGAGTTCCCTGTTTGAACGAAACGGCCGTCCAATGCTTCCAGGTTTCACAATCTACTAGCCAGATTAATAGTATGGTATCATTATATTAATGTGAGCTAATAATTCCAATCGAAAATTCAATCATGTAATTCTAACAGAGAAAACATATTTTGGCGGCTAAACAAACCATTGATTAAAAAAAGTTAAAAAAATATCATAACAAAAAATCGGTGAAATGTGTTAAACTCTCTACCACTATACAAACAGTTTTTTTTGTTTTGTGCATACATATTTGATGCGCAAAACATTAAAAAACTTTAATGTTTGTTTTCATTGTAATTAGTTTAGTAAATTACAATTATAAAAACAATTTGTTATATACAATAATAAATATTATCATAATTAACTGCTTACTAACTAATTAACTAAATAAATAAACTTTAATAAAATGATATGATTGGCGGTAATTTGTGTATATTTATATAGATAGATAGATAGATATTAATACTATGAATAGTTTTGTTTATATATTGATAAAGTTATAAAATCTAAGCGTGTATAGTAATGAAGTAATTTTCGAATTGAATTTTTGTTAATTTAATTTTGATCAATAGTTAAAAACCACAAATTATAATTATAAACGATGTGAAAATTCGAATGTTTGTACATTTGGAAAAATGAATTTTATTCATTTACAGCATTAATGAAGAGTTAGTTAGTTAATTATTTTATTGATGTACATATGCGTGTATCAAATATGAAATGTTGTTTAATGTTTAAAACCTACAACTGGATTCGAACTAGCCAATTTATCAATTTTAAAACCTTTGTACTTTCAATCATTGAATTCTATATATTTCGAACTTTTCTTCTTCAATTTGATTTTGGATAATTAAGTAGTATAATTTAGCTCTAACACATAAAATGAATGTTTAAAACTATGTAAAATTATACTTGATGATCAAGTTACAATTATACTTGGTTAATTTATTGAAATTTGATCACAAAATTCACACTTGTTATGATATGCATCTTTATGGAGGCCCACTATGTCTGAATGTGAATCTGGTCAACTAAGTCAAAGGCTATTGGGAAGCTAGTAATGCTTTTACTAGATTCAATTATCTCTAGGCGACTTATTTATCATCACATTAAATAATAGTCACATGGATAAGATCTTTCTCTCTTGATATGTAATTGATTTCGGGTAACTACGTAAAATTAAGTCGTAACTAGAATATACAAATTGTGATTTTCATTAGATATATTACCAGAAATGATACAGAAAAAAAACGCATTAGTAAAATATTAGTCATGCATAAAAAACTTTATCGATTCTTTTATGATTAATCAGAAAATGTTTTTTCAAATTGCGTTAGAATTATTCTGTTATGAACATTAGAGAGTTTAACTTCTCCTAATAAATGAAGTTTTAAGTGAGGCTAAGAAACTGCATTATAAATGAAATAAGAGTTAAACTTTAACTTATGACTGGGCTGATAAACACCACTTATCTTTTATCTGATTTCTAGACTGCTGTACTGATTTAATGAGATTTCGGTCTACACTCAGTCGTCTACTATTTCGGTTTCTCATACTTCTAGTGGCTTATATCAATTTTAATGCATTCAGAATTCCCGAGGAAGACTAATGGATAGGTTGTGCAACTCCGTGAATTGATCAAGTTAGACATTAACACCGTTAGATACCGGCTCAGTGGTCCAATGGTTAGGCGTTCGCCTACAATACCGAAGGTCCTGGGTTCGAGTCCTGCGGGGTGGAGGAGTCGTGGATGCGCACTGCTGATGAGTCCCATACCAGAACGAAACGGCCGTTCAGTGCTTCCAGGTTTCTAATGGTGGTCTAACATTGATCGATCCATGGTTTCAAAAATGTGTAAATTAACAATCTTCACAACCCCGTAATGCTAATGGATAATTAGTTATAAACTTTCCTTAAATTGTCATTTACAGAAACTAATAGAAATACTTCCGACTACCTTTACTAATGATTCTGTTTAAATATGTCATAATTTTATATATTAATGTTGATCAACACAATACTTAGATTTAGAACATTCTGTAGATTCTGTCTAAACACCAAGCTAATCTATCCAAACCAACAGGTGTATAACAATTCGATTAATGGAATCCGAATCAATCATTAAACTAGAAAACTTAACAACAGGTACTTCTAAGAAGTTCATTAGCACATAACACTACTTCGACAACATATTTCTTTAATAAAGACTGGACACAATTAATGTTTATTTAATAAACTATTCACTATTTAGTTAGTAGTATAAGTATATATATTAAACTATATCTATTGATGTAAACTATATCTGTACTATCGATACTATACGATACGATAATTTTAGCGAAATATCTTATTGCATATCCAATCGTTCAGCTTATCAAATATATATTGACCAGTTTATTTCATCTTGTATTCAATACGTGTTATTTATACTGTAAATTTTTAATCGATTTTCATTAAACAGATTCACACATTTTCACTAATTGAATTATCTTATTGTAAACCCACAGTTTATACTATTATCAAAGTTATTTATGTTATGATTAACAAATCTTAGCGTTTATATATATATATATATATGCATATTTATTACAACTTCCGGCTATTTTCATCCGAAATTTTCCCGTTTCGACTGTGCATACAGTATATTTCGGTATGTAGATGAGTGGAGTTGAGTATCACTGCTTTCATTTGCACAAGACTTGATTAATTTGTTTACTTTAAACAAGTTAAATTAAAGCATTCGATGTATTTATGTCTGTTGACATGTAAGTATATATTAAACTCAGTGGGTGCATGTTATACTATTCATATCTGTTTATAATTATATATATAATTGAAACAAAAGTCGTTATGACGAATACGTATGTATCTCATTGCCATGATAGTAATAATAATGATAATAATAATAATGACTATATATATCGAAATACACTAATACTCATGTAATAAATAATCCACTCCTACTTAAGACTTAATAGACTTCAATTTCTCGTACGAGTAGAAGATCAACAGACAATATTAATCTATTTTATGTTTTCTCTAAATGTGTCTGTGTATTGCTGTGTAGACAACTTCTAGTTGATTTTTTCTGTTAGCATTCATGTTTTAGACATACGTTTTTTTAATTGTCAGTGTGTAGATTTGGTGATTAGTGAATTCGGTATTATTACTATAATTAATGGTAACATAATCTTTTAATACAATCCGTGTTTTATTTGTCATGTATTTGTCTAAAACTGTTTTCATTTCTTGCATACATTATTACAGCATAATGACACTTTGTACACTACTATTATTGTATTCATTGATCAATTAAGTTTTGTGATAAATGTTCAAAGAAAGTTATAAAATGTTGTGACCTAGTTGTTTACTAGTTATGTCTGCATATTTGATTGAGTAGAAGCTGATAATTTACAATAACTCTAGGATTTAGTACAATATTCAATTTCTGCCTGTGTCTGATTAGTTTGTAAGGGGTTTGGGAAAATGGACACGTGCTGTTTGTTATGAATTGGTATCCGTTGAAATACCAGTGAAAACCAGAAAAAAACAATAGATAATTGTTTTTGTCTCAGTAAGGAATTCATTGAAACTTCTCATTTATTAACCATTCTAGGGGTCTAATCTTGAAGTTTCAAGTTTTGTATTAAGTTCGTTAGTTTTATTAAATAAAGTAGATCTCATCAATGTGAATAATCTGACTAAAGTTCTTACTGATTATATGCCAAAATCTTGATTTTGTTGTTATGTTCTCTTTCAAAATCAATTTTTATTCATTTCTAATACATTAATCTGTACACTGAGCAGCCTTCTATCTGTTTAGAAATTGTATAGAAATTCGCAAGAAGTAATAGCTTCAAAGGAAAAAAATATCATGATATATTACTGATTTGTAAATATTCCTGAATGAAGAATGTTGATTATCTACTATCTGATGAACAGGAGGTTTATGCTTATTAAGCTATTGTGAATAGATTGTATGATTTTTGAAATAACATTTTCATTTTGGAATTTTTTTAGTATCAACGCTAACAATCACTCATTTCTAGCTTGACTTTTTAAACTTGCTAGTCTTTAAACTTAAACTTAAACAGTCAAGTTCGTTAATACTACTGAAAAATGATAAAAAATATAACATGATTCAGTTATGGTCCACCAGGGTATCAGGTACCTGTGTGGTTGCACTACAGGATTGAGCCGAACTGTTCATATAGTAATGGTAAAACGTTTCCAGTCTCTTTGGTTCTCCTGAAAACCAATGTAAAATTGCCCTCGACACAATACAGGGTAAATTTATATAATTGTGGAGATAAAAATAATATTCAGTTAGGATAGTCGGATTTTAAAATTTTTAATTCATTTCATTTCGATTATAACTTATTACTAGTAAGTAGTATTTATTCAAAAAATTCCAAAGAATAATCAGTGAACAAACATTTCGGGTTTTTTTTATCAACGTCGATATATGTATTGAGTGGTGTAATGGTGAACTATTCACTGAAAATTCAAGCTTCTTTCTTTTTGTTAGCATCTGTAATCATTAGACTTAATGATAGTGGTATGTTTTGGCGACAAATCAGTTAAAATCAAGTAACTAGCTTGGAGTTTTTGCAGGAACTTATCGATAAATAACGACTTTCACCTTTCATTACATAGAATGCATTACAGAAATCTAGCGTGAATGAATTTGAACTGAGATTAACAAAAATCCAAGAGCTGTAAACTGAAAAATCAATAAAATCCCTAAAAATAACTCAATTCTAACGTATTTTACTATTTTTGCTACAAGATATTTTCCGTTTATATAGACTATTTGAAGATTATCTGAAATTTAGCTTCACAATCATACAGTCGTTTATAGCGTCAATCAAATTTGTACATGTGCTATAATTTTGTCAACTTCGTAATAGGAATTTACAGTGTTATGGAGGCAATATTTCCTATTAGTGAAGTGAACCAATGACTTTGTTTCCTTTGAAGTATATAAATGTGTATATTACCACTCTCCATTTAGAAAAAATATACAACTAACTATTTTTTTGGTTTTTTCAAAATTTTTTTCTTTATCAGCCAAGCATTGTGTGTTCAATATTTTCATTCTCCGAGAATTTCAACTCATTAGTATTGAACGATACAGAAGTTGCTCTTTGTTGTGCTGCTGTCATTACCAAACCAAGTAAGTGGTTAACAATCATCTTTTTTTTAACCAGAAAAAAAATAAAATCAATGAAAGAAAATAATCTAGATTTATAAAACCATAAGAAATCAATAATTTAGATCGATAAGTTGTGTACAGGTTTACTATTATATTGTAAATTGAACTGTTTCCATAGTTTACATCATGGATTCATGTTAGTTGGAAAAATAATCAAAGTTAGAAAGCACTGTATAGCTACTTGGTTCTACTGTTGATTTCTTCATCAGTGTACATCCACAAACTCAGTGGGGAGCAAACCTAGGAACTTTCCTTTTACTGCGAACGCTTAACCTGCAGATCACTGAGTTGGCGTCCAGTCCTTCATAGGTCTTGCTTGAGTCAATTCAAAATATTACGCAATCATCTCACACTGCTCGCGGTTGATACTTGTCTCATACGGGATATAGTCGAGTTCTGTTAGTTACGGCTTCTCACTAGAATTCCTGGTGATGCATTACATTTTAAACTATATTGTCATGATGATAATTTTCGATGACTATTCTTGGTTAGGCTAAAGCGGTTTGCTCAATTTGTTGCTAGATATTATATGACTATAATCCTTACTTGGTTTACTTATACACATATTTAGAGAAATTTCTCATATATTGTTTTCACAATGTGTTGTAATTATGAAAACTAGTAGAGATGCATAGGTAAAACGAACAAAATTGATGAAGTATGAGTAAAGTAATTTCTTAAAACAAAAAACCTTGCATTTTCCAAACCGATTTCCACATATTCACCAATTTATAAATAGTTATTCTTGAACAATCAGAAAGGAAGCAGTTTAACTCAAGCTCAACTTCTAATTAGTTTATATATAGAAACTTAAAGTTTTCTTTATGATTACAAGCAACCTTAAAGTTCTATAAATGTAGTTGTATTTTATGGATCAGTGAGAAATACAAATAAATAAATTTCGTAAGATTTAATTAAACCATCAATTGAACAAATATTTCATTACGAGGTTGTGAAGATCAGTAAGTTACACATTTGAAATCATGAATCGATCAATGTTAGACCACCATCAGAAACCTGGAAGCACTGGACAGCCGTTTCGTCCTGATATGGGACAAATCAGCAGCACGCGTCCATGACTTTTGCACACACCTGCGCACGAACGCCCAACATCTGGACTACCGAACCGGTGTCTAACGGTGTTAATGTCTAACTTCGATCAATTCGCGATCTTGCGCAACCTCATACACTGTCTTCAGTAGTTACTGTCTAAATCCGAACAGGATAATGTATTGTTCATTGCCTTAATTTTGAGGAGTTTTAAACTGAGGATACATATGTAAAAGCCTTAATAATATATTACATGATCATCTCAAATTTTATCAAAAGTAGTAAACTAGTCCGAAATATCAACTCATTAAGTGTAGAATTTTACAATAGTAAAGCATAATATTGTTAATATCTGCCAACATCAACTATGTTCATTTCGGCATATATTCTTGACGTATTTAACTCTTGTTTACCGGTTTAAAGTCTTTTACTTTGCTTAAATAAAGAAAAAAATTCAAAAAAGTACACCAAAACGTTATTATTATTATTATTATTATTTGTAATGAGCAGCTATAAAGTAAGATTTGTCTAACTATACCTTATTTTTTAAAAATATATTTCATTAGATCGTTATGGTTTAATTGAACCAAATAAAGTAGCTATTATGCAAGATCATCATTTAGCTGCTCTTCGTATGCAATTAGAACGTAGTAGACCAAGAGAGGCTACTTTACTTGGACAAGTACGAAATGTGATTAATCAAGTGACTACAGTTGGTGATGAAGTACAGTTATGCATACGATGGTATAGAGAAAATTGGTATCGTACACGATTAGCACCTTTATATGCTGAAACATATGATATTCCACATGAAGATACTTCTACTCTACCTGTACCTAATCAAGGTACATCCAATGCTCTTTCTAATCCTGTTCAACATACAGGAAATGCATATCCTATATGTCCAGATATTTCATCTGTTTGTCCACAAGGTATTCCATATGGTGATGTTACTAATACTAACTATGGTTCTGCAACAGTCCCTATTCCTCAAGCTGTTCATCATCATTATGCAAATCAATCTATTAATAGACAAGATATTTCTAATATGATACCATCTTGTTCAGTGAATGAAAATATGATTTATTGCAATAATAATAATACTAGTAATAATAATAATAATAATCATGATAACAATGGTAACCGACTACAAAGTGGTAATATTGATCATTGTTCTTCGGATAGTCAAATGCATGATGTTACGCATAAACAAAATGCGCAACATCAAATTCATCAACAATCACATTTAATGCCAGATTCATCTCATATGAGAGGATCATATTCATCAACTGTAAATTTAACATCATCAAATTCTGTCTCACCATTAACTACTAATCAATCACATGCATTTTCTGGACAATTTAATTATCATGATAATTCAATGAATTATAATTTGTCGAATTCGAATACCTATTCAAATTCTAGAGATTGTTCACCTTCTTCAACACAAATGCATTCAACAAACTACTTGGTTCCATCACCGCAACAACAACAGCAACAACGAAGTCAGTTGTCTGTTTTACAATCATCTCCTCAATTCACTTCTTCTTCTTCTACTTCTTGTTCAACAATCACTTCACCTCAACGTCAAGTTAGTTCATCGGTACAATCAACTGGACTTATACCGGCACAAAGTCAAAATGACCATATGACTTTGAATAAATCAATGATTTCTGTGAAAAATCATAGTTCACGTTCAAATACTCCTACATCGTATACTACTAACAATAATCTAATGCGTCCAAATAGTACAAATGAAAATTTATCACTTTTATGGACAAATATGAATACTGACAATAATCATAATAATAACAGTTTAAATGATCATACAACTAATTCAAATGATGCAACACCAGAACTACACCAATCAACTCAATCACAAAATCAACAATATCATACTTCACCAATTTCACAACAATCAGATCTAATGAATACTACTCCTGATACTAGTCATAATTTGAATACATTATCTTCACCTATTAATGAGAGTTTATCAAGTGAACAATAAGGTACATATATATGGATATATATAATCTAATTTTGATTTATGTAATGGACAAAGTGTATACAGTTGTATATTTTTAAAACATGATATAGAGGTTAAGAATAGGATACTGTGTAAATCTCTCTATCGATTATCCATTGAATAACATCCCATTCTATGGCTAGCAGTTACCACCACGTCATCAGTGAAATATTAGTTGGCATAGTGATAGGTTAGATGAAACCAAGAAGTGTTACTAATAAATCTACAAAGGTTTATTCATTAATGAAGTCACTGTTTGTTTAAATAATATCATCAAATGTAGACCTCGTTGAAGAATAATTTTGATCAGTTGTGTTTGGGGATGATGAGTGAGTGATATATGTGTCAGAACTGATTACAATCGTGCATATTGATTGACATCTGTATATTCTTTTTTATGGCAGAAATCCATGAAATCACTAACAAGTGGACTGAGTCATGTTGGTAGATGTAGGCTACCTGGTTGGGGTCCGCAAGACAAAAGTCACCAATGGCTAGAGACCTTGAACGACACCACTCAAAATCGTTTGCAATGGCTCAGGTGCATCCACTCTTTGTGTTACTTCAAATTCTAACCTGCTGAATTCCTCATCATCTCTATCTTTCTCTTTCCAAATTTATCTTGCTGAATTATACATCTCGTATCATATCTTCTAACCCTAATGTTCTCCATCACTGCTAATACTTCTACTATCGTTACCACTATCGATTTGAACTGACAGTTGCGTCTCTCTACTAATGTGGTATGGAAACCTGAACTGATGTACATATGTACGAAGTTCTACGTTGTAACTGACTGACTGACTGACAAATCATTGATAATATCGTTATTATTTCAATTTATTTTGCTTTACATCTTCTCGTCTCGCCAATCCATGAATTGACTAATTGTTAGCCTGATGTAATATTGATAGATGAAGACTCCCTAGTTATGGATCCGCATGATAATCACAGTTGGTGGTTGGTGACTTCAGGTGATTTAGATGAGGAATTATTCATGAGAGGCTTAGGTGTGTGCGCTCTTTATTTGCTTCATGAGTTTGAATTCTGTCATTTCTGCAATGATTACTTTTCCATACTGTCTTGTTTGAATTCTATTCTCAAAATGTTCACTTATTCTTATGATCATTTCTACCATTATTATTTCAATCTTTCTTTATTTTTTACATTATCGTGCTAACACATGATCTAACAAATTAGTATATTGTGTATTTGTCTTAAGCACTTGGTTGATTCTATTCGAGTTGACTATAACCAAATTTGATTGAATTACTAGTCACTGTTCAATACTGTAATGTGTAACAAATTAAAACAATGCATATTTGTACTATAATCCATAAATTTGATAGACACAAGTGACAGCATTCTATTTAATGTGAACTGATGAAATATAGTCTTTTTACAATTTCTATTACACTAATATTTATCATGAGGAAAAATATTAGTGATACAATATTAAAATTCATAACAATTTTGATTCAATGTAATTTTACGTAATAACTGAGTAGTGTACATTCGAAGTTGTATACAACTAATCAAAGGTGTACTATTCTTTAAAAAAAATGTTCAGCTTTCAACAAATTAAATACTTGTTAAGGGTTTTAAGATTTTTAAGAATAGTATCATATTTTTCTTTTTAAAAAATGCTTCATAATAATGATTGCTTTTTTGTTCATTTTTAAATTGTAGGAAAACAAAACAAAACATGTCAAAAGTGACTGCTCAAACTTCATCATTGGATTTACGTAGCAGAAAAGAATTCTTTAAAACTAACTTTATTTTGCTAATCAACATAACTTGTATTCATTCAGTCATTCATTCATTCACTCTTCATTCCTATGAATTCCAAACTGTTCCAATTCTCAGGGAATTCCTTTCAACACTAACAAGCATTGCATACATTAGATAGCCAAAAAATATATATATACAAATGGAATACAGTCAGTTAGTCAGTCAGTCACTTCCTTGTCTATCTTCTATCTATTAAACAAACCTGAATTCCAATACATACGTGTATAATACATATGACGTGTGCTATTTAGACATGTGTTTACACGTCACAATGATCGATTTTTTCATTTTACAAATATTCATCTCAGGGGCTAGAGATTACTAATTGATTCTTTTAACTTAGTTTTTTTTTGTTAAAAGCTTTCAAAATTCCTTTTTTCTTTTTCCCGAAAATCTACCAGTTCTTTTTGGAATTATTATCATCAATAAGAATCATGGTTATTGTTTCAACCGCTTCAATTCCTTCCATCTTCTTTTCGTAATTACTGTCTATCAGGGAAATTCTTAGTTTCATTACAGGTTTAATATCAGGTTATCAAACAATATTGTTATGTGTTTGAATAGACTCGAAATTCTCTCCAACTTCATGAATGTCACATTACTATTTTGCTAATTCATCTAAACATGTGTGTTTAGTTTATATTTCAGGGATTATAACCTTTAATTGAATGTTCTACATATATTTTATGTAACTATCTTTACCGTTTCTATTATTATTATTATTATTATTATTATTATTATTATTATTATTATTTGTTCTCGATTTCCTGTTACCCTAGAAAGAAACATTACTATCAGGATTAAGGAGTATATACATATATACATATATGCTGTTCTCATCTCAGGGTTTTTACCACTATCAACTCAGGTGTTAGTTTGTTTTTGTTCTTACTGTCGATTCTATTTCAGACTGACGCTGCTTTACTTCTTTTGTTCAATTATTTTTATTTACTTACTACCTTCATCGACTAAATTGTGTTTCTCTTCACAATCATAATTATGTTTGTTGTAAGAGCTAATTCTATATATTACTGATTCATTTCATTTTCGGCTCCATTTCATTTACACTCAGGGAATTTCGTATATTCGCATACCTAATTAAGTTTGTGCTTTATAATTTTAATTTGTGCTATTCATACATGCGTTTGTTTTGTGTGTGTGTGTGTGTGTATGTGTATGTGACATTGACAATGCCATTGTGTTTCTGAATGATGTTCTTTTTTTCCAATAATACACATACATGATAATGTAATTTTCGCTCTGCGAGAAATTCCCACTCCTTGTCTTAATCATCTGTTTTGTTTTGTTTTGTTTTTCCATTGTGCTTTCAATTGTCAATGATTTACTGTTCCATATTTTCATCTTTCTCGACGTAAACACTTGTTTTCGTTCTCTGATTGCTTTGTTCAATGATAATTAATTAATGACTGGCTTTCTGTCCTTCTTGTTCATTGAAGCTTTAGCATCTTTATAAAATAGGCTATCAACTTATGAAATCAGATATACATACATGTATAGAACATTTTGAGCATCCTTCTTCTACTTCTCCTGATTTATTGATCTATTGATTTTCGCCTTTCGAATTCTTCTCTATTTAATTGTACCTTCTTATCGTTTGCATGAATCTTTTTGTTTATGGCAGCTGTACGTGCTTGTACTTCTTTTTTTCTTTCTAAATTTTCTCTATTTTTCATTTTTACTTTTTCAAATAATGATTGTTTCTCATTTTAACTAACTAGTCTACAATCTTTATAAGTATATTTGGGATGAAATTTATTTACATTGACTCTATTGTGTATACATTAATTTGATAAAACCTGTTGACAGTGAATATTTTTACTTCATGTTTTTTTTCTGTGTATTCTCTATTGATTACATCTATTACTATTATTTTTTGTTATTTGGTGGTGAATTTCAACTCTCTCACACACATACACACGCACACACACAAAGATGAATGATCATTGGAATAGTTGACGTGAATTTTGATAATTAGTAGTGTTATTCCATCATTCCATCAAAATTGTTGATTGTTTGAAATTAATCCAACATTACAGTCATAATACTCTAATGAATAAAAGAAAAAAATAACTAAGTTGATTTAAATCATTAATTAATTAATTAATTCATTAACTAATGATTACTGGTTTCTTTTTTTTCTTTCTCTCTGTTTTGTCTTGTACAACAAAAACCAAACTTTATTTTGTATTCATTCACATAAAGTATTTATGAATATTATATTTTTTATGCCAACATAAATGCCACCATACCTGATAATCTGCTTTGTTTGTATGTTTATTCATTACACAAAACTATTTCTTGGTCAACCTGCTTAATTAATTTGCACATTTCTGATAACAGTGATATTATTACCATTACTATAATTACCATTACTATTAATCTTACTACAGACAGTACTATTACCCCTACCAATACTACTACTACCACTACTACTACTAGTACTTTTGTCATCCATATGATCGCCGTGATTCGTCAAAAAAAACGATAACAACATAACAATACGCTGTTGTCTACGTATAGTTTTTTTGTTTTTAAAATTCTTATCCTCATGTGTGTGTGTGTATGTGTGTTGTATACACGCGCATGCATCTGTGTGTAAATGCAATGGTGTATGGTGTGATTTTCATTGTGCATGAAACGTTTCATTTCTATTTGATATAATTTCTATATGATGATGTCTAGAAAAATTATCACTATAAACGCTTATTTGTCGTTGTTTCTTCGTCTTTTTTCTTTTTCGTTTGTTGCGTGTGATCTATGCTGTTCTCTGTCATACAGTGAACGGTTTGATTTTTCCCGCCACTTTTTTCCCCCATTTCGACATAAAACAAACAAACAAACAATAACCAATGTTTACACATATACTACTTGTGTGAAATAAAAAGGAATAAAAGGAAATAGATACAGAATAATTCATTCTCCTCATCATTTGTATTCAATAATCAATTTAAAATATATACAGTATACGCATATATATATATATATATATATATATATATATATATATATATATATATATATATATATATATATATATATATATTTGTTCGTGATTATAAATTTCCCTTTGATTGATTCTTTCAGTCTCTTTATTGCTTTCATTCTATTTTCTCCTTGGAATGAATTCCGTTTTGATTTTTTTCTTAGTGTACGCATTCTTTATAACCCTG